TAAATTACCTAAGAACAATAGGTGTTCAAGTAACAACAAACAAAATATTTAGCCTGCAGCCACATTACTATCAAAGTCAACTTAGAATATAGTCTTCTGTTATTAGACTTATTTAAATAGCATTTAGTATAGTGCTGTATATTATTATTCGTAACTTCATACTGCTGAAATGATTTATTAAAAACATTTTGACAGAATGTCAAGGAAACTCGTTTTTAAAAATATTACAATAAAAATTGAGTGTATTCTGCATGATTGATGGGTAAAAACCCGTGATAAATGTTGATCGAACATTTGTATTATCACATAATAAGAAGGTCATAATCGTGTGACCTGCTGATTGTTATGACCAAATTTCTGAAATAAATCACATGCCTGAAAATTCGATTGCGTAACAGATTCTCGATCAGGCACATGAGTGTCATTACTTCGTAATACATATATCACAGAATAAATGCATGATATAATCATGTGACCTGCTGATTGTTACTATAAATTCTAAATCTGATTGACTAACTGTACAACAGAATATAATCGTGTGATCCAACCAAACTTATTTTTTTACTCTGAAGAAACCTACATAATGTCGCAAACCGAAAGAAGAGAAATATGTTACTTAAGATGTATAATAAACTCTGGAAAATTAGAATTTACTTGGTCAATAATTACACCATCTACATCGGACTGGATTGGATTATATGAAGACGATAGCAAATCAAATAGAGAATGGCTCGGTGGGCATTGGTTCTATATAAGGAATCATAGCAACCGTTCGACTCTTCCTGACGGTCGATATGTATATTCTGGAAGTCATTGGATTGGAATTGTTTCTGGAATGAATCAGATCAGGCTAAACACCTATGAAGTTTACGGAGAATATAAAACTTATTCATATGCCAATGTATACAATCCTGTATTTATGTACTTTGATAGTAATGTGGCTGCAGGCTAAATATTTTGTTTGTTGTTACTTGAACACCTATTGTTCTTAGGTAATTTA